AAAAAAAAAAAAAAAAAAAAGACTTAAAATACCACATAAACTTAGTTGATAAAGCAGCAGCAGGATTTCAAAGATTTGACTCCAATTCTGAAGTTCCGCAGGTAAAATGCTACCAAATAGCATCACAGACTACAGAGAAATAGTTCATGAGAAAAATGCAGCAAATTTCACTGTGTTGTCTTACTTTAAGGAATTTCCCAGCCACCCCAACCTTCAGCAATCCCCATCCCGAGCAGTTAACAGCCACCAACATAGAGGCAAGAATCTCCTCCAGCAAAAATATTGTGACTCGGTGAAAGCTCAGATGATGGTTAGCATTTTTTAGCAATTAAGTATTTTTTTTAAAGATTTTGCTTTTCAGTAATCCCTACATCCATTGTCAGGCTCGAACTCACATCCCTGAGATCAAGAGTCACTTGCTCCACCGACTGAGCCACTCAGGTGCCCCCCTAAAATATTTTTAATAAAGGTGTGTCCTCTGATTTTTAGACAATGCCATTGCATACTTAATGGAGTATAGTGTACATGCCCTGGGAAACCAGAAAATTCCTTTGACTTGCTTTATTGTCACATTCACTTTATTGTGGTCTGCAACCAGTCCCACCACATCTCTAAGGTATGCCTGTGACTGAAGTAAAATGTTATTAAAATCAATTTCACCTGTTTCTTGTTACCTTTTGATGCCACTGGAATATTGGTAAAAGTTTAAATTTTCAAATGAAAGTATTTTTATTTCTAAAAACTTTAAAACTCTGTTATATGAGCATACACATCACAAACATGTATTGATGTCCAGAGATTATTTAAATGCCTTCTTGGAGGGGGGAGCAGGCATTTAACAAAGACCTGGCTCTGATTCTTGTGTGTCACATGGGCCTCCTAAACATTTGCCTTTGAGCCTTAACCTCTCTACACCTCAGTTTTTCTTTCTGTGCAGGGGATTAACTTCAATCCTTGCCTTCTGAGCATTCATCGTGACCATCACTAAAGCCATGTAGAAGCACTTGGATATTCTGAACCACAATATTTTATAAGATATCCTCATGTGAAGGAGATAAAATAACCCAAGCTATCGAATCTTATTTCTAGTTTTAAATGTCACTTAGAAGAAATCAGGATTGGGGTGCCTGGGTGGCTCAGTCAGTTAAGCATCTGACTTTTGATTTGGGCTCAGGTCATGATCTCAGGGTTTGTGAGATCGAGCCCTGTGGTGGGCTCTGTGCTGACAGTGCGGACAGAGCTTGCTTGGGATTCTCCGTCCGCCCCATGTGCACACGTGCACTCTCACTCTCTCAAAATAAATACACTTAAAAAAAAAAGGTTTATGTCTGGTACTTACAATTTTTTCCTATGCCTTTGAAGAAAATGGTCTCAATTGGTGGTTGACTTAGCTCATCTATTTTTACTTATGTCTGTCATGAACACAACCATCCCTAAGCCAAGTCACTCCATGTGATCCATATTCACTTCTCTCCCCTACCATTCATTTATTTAGATAAAATATTATAAAGAATGGTAAGGGTTGTTTTGAAAAGGAAAATTACAGTCTCCAAAGAATGAAAAGATCGAGGGAGACTTTGCCTCAGCCATGGTGACTCAGCATGGAAACTCAGAGCCATTTCTAGGACGTCCTCAGGCTGTCCCTGGGAGTTGCCTTGTGGCCGTATGCCCAGGGGCAGTCAGCCAGCTTTGCCATGCCATGGTGTTCGGTGTTCGAAATGAGAAGTTGCCCTCCATAATAACCACATGGCAGGGAAGGAGGAGCGCTCACCAGGCAGTGCCGGACGTCATGACCTCTCCAAGATCTGCATGTGGTCAGCCGAGGGGAGGAGGGACCTCGGGGACAGCCTGCCAGGGAAGTTCCCAGGAGGCTCCATACAAAAGTGGTCACGCAAGGTGTAGCAGTGCTTGTCCAGGGGAGTGGCCAGTTAAGGATCTCTTTGGTGGTTGATATTTTACCCTCAAAACATACAGCAGAAAGGTTGTGGACAAGTAGACTTCCTCATCAAACTGCGATTACTTACGGAGGCTTCCCCGAAGTCTGCATCACCCCAGCTCTTTCCATACTCACTTTCTGTCCAAGAGAACTAAAGTGGGTGAAAACAGCAAAGTCCACAGCGGCATGTAGATATTTTAATAGGTTGATAGGGCTTGCAAAAAAGCCAAAACAAAACCACCACGTTTTTCGTCCTTTCGTGAATTAAGCTACAACAGTTTCTGAGAAGTTCAGAAGGCAGGCATTTTTTTACCCAGGCTTCTGAAGGTATTCAAATTAGTAAAGGTCTTAAAGGATATTATAAAGTGAAATGTATTTAAGAAAATGTCTGGAAAAAAAAAAAAAGAAAATGTCTGCTATGGGGCACCTGGGTGGCTCAAACGTCCAACTTGGGTTCAGATCATGATCTCACAGTTTTTGAGTTCAAGCCCCACATCTGGCTCTGTGCTGACAGCTCAGAGCCTGGATCCTGCTTTGGATTCTGTGCCTCCCTCTCTCTCTGCCCCTCCCCCACTCATACTAACTATCTCTCTGTCTCTCTTCCTCAAAAATAAATATTAAAAAAAAAAAATTTGGGGGCGCCTGGGTGGCTCAGTCGGTTGAGCAGCCGACTTCAGCTCAGGTCATGATCTCAAGGTCCGTGGGTTCCAGCCCCGCGTTGGGCTCTGTGCTGACAGCTCAGAGCCCTGAGCCTGTTTCAGATTCTGTGTCTCCCTCTCTCTGACCCTCCCCCGTTCATGCTGTCTCTGTCTCAAAAATAAATAAACGTTAAAAAAAAAAAAAAATTAAAAAAATTTTAAAGAAAATGTCTGCTATGAACAAATGCCCTGTTTCAATCAAGCCAGGTATCCTTGACCAGGCTTCTCCTCAGACATTTGATGATCCCTCCGCAAGGAGAATACAGGAGGTGCAGACCAATCAGCAGGCTCCTTCCTATTAGCGCTCTGGGCCAGTGTTTGTTGCATGTCTTTTTCCACCATTTCTTTTGCCTGAATTACTGTGGTAGCCTCCTGATTAGGCTTCTAGTTTGTTCTCACAGCAGCCAGCATGACCCTTTCAAAATTTTTCAGTGGCTTTGCATCTCACTTAGAATAAAATCTAGAGTCCTTGCCATGACCTACAAGCACTCATCTGAGCTCGTCCCCTGACACCATTTGAACTCATGCCCTAGGCTCCCTCCCTCCATCCTGGCCTCCTATCTGCTATTCCAACATGCCAGACCTCTGCCGCTTGGTTCTTAATGTTTTCTCTGCCTGAAAAGTTCTACCCTGAGATTTCCAGATGCCTATTCAAAAGTCACCCTAGCAAACAAGTTAGCAGCACCTGCTTTGTCATTCTCCACCTCTCTGCCGTTCTCTTCTCACAGGACCTAACACCTATTTCGTGTCTACTTATTTATGACATGCTCGCACACATGTAACCCGTTTTCCCCTCCTATAGTCACTTACTTCACCTATTTTATACACTGGGGTTCCCCTCAGTCCCTAGAACTATGCCTGGCCTCCATTAAGTACTCAAAAGTATGAATGAATGAATGAATGAATGAGCACGGATGATCCCTGATTTGCAACTGATGATAGGGCAAAACATTTATTTATAGATCTGCAAACAGATCAGAGCAGAAA